CCATGTTTCCCAAGGAAGCAGGTACCACACAGTTCCCATCATAAGCAAAAGTGAGTTTTACAGGGATTTAGACTAGGTTGCTCCATGTCAAATCTTCACAAAATCTTTATAAGAACATGATTATCACACCAGAAAAGGGTTACTTAACAACTCTGAAACTAAACTCAAATGAAAACCTCAAATTCCAGAAAATCTCATCCTGGCACATGCTGGCTTGCTCACAATATCTTGGATCCCACCCCAGGTTAGACCAGATTCAAATTTACTGGACTTTCTCAGACGGTTCCCTATTTTTTGAGACTGGTACATCCTCATCGTCAACCACCTGCCAAAGTTTGTTAAGCAGCAGCCACACATCAGGTCTAGAGCTACTTAAGTGAGCCCGGGGCAAAGGTGTACCAAGAAGGTGTGAGAGCGGATTATGTGCATCCTGCCAGCTGAGCAGCTGTGGGTGAATGGGATGCACAGACTTGAACTGATGGAAAATATGACTGTCCTTCATCATTAAACGAGCTGCTTGGGCCTACAGGCGGTGACACATTCAGGACTTTTGAAAGAGGCAATTTCATACTCATCAAACTCAGTTTTTACTACTCTTATTTTCTTTTTCCTTTTGGTTGATAGCCTTTAGCCTGTTCTCTTAACTAGAAGAGTATCTGCCAGCATGAAAGTCAATGGAACTCACGGGAGACAAAAGACCTTCTTGGTTTGATTGCTCCTAATAAACATCAGTGCTTCCAGACCACATAATGTCATAGAATTATTTGTAATGCTTCTTTAAAAGGGTGACAGGGTTCAGAAATGAACTGCACATGGTAAGATGAGCCTCCCAGGGGTTGTCCCTGAAAAAATGAGCTGCAAGGCTTTGGGAGTGGTGGTGGTTTCCGGCCATTAGCATCACTAATCAAGGCCAGCTTTGCATTTATGGGAATCTACACAAATCAGGATGATACATGCTATGTTCACTCAAGCAACCCTGCCTGGTTTCCTCAAGCTTATGCTGAAACAAAGCTTCACCTCAATTATCTTGGGTTGGAATGCTTCATTATTTTGATATATCCTTGAGAGACAGACTGCATGAAGTAGAGGCATCAGGTCCATGGGTCACAGAATCATACTTAGTGCTTCATGCCCACATAAAGCAATTACTGTCGGCTCTCAATTAACCTCGTTATTGGAGGCAGCATTAGTGGAGAAAATACAAGTCCTAGTAACCTACCCGGGTCTTTCTTGCTGCCACAGTTGCAGCTGAGGTGAGAGAGACAGAAGTAATGGAAATGTCCAGAAAAGCTCAGGGGGGAGAGGTGTCTTTGGGAAACGCTGAGCAGAGGTGATACATTCAGCTCCCCTTCTGCCCTCTTTCCAGGCCCACTGCCTTTTTGCCTTGTGTGCTAAAAGTCCCTTCAATTTCATGCCCAACTCTTTGGAACCCTATGGACTATAGGCTGCCAGGATCCTATCCTCTGTCCATGGGATTCTCCAGTCAAGAATACCAGAGTGGCTTGTCACGCCCTTCTCCAAGAGATCTTCTCAACCCAGGAATCGAACGCACATCTCTTATGTCTTCTGCATTGTCAAGTGGGTTCTCTGCCACTACTACCACCAGGGAAGCCCTTTTGCCCTGCACCAAGAAGCAAAAGTGACATTGCTTTCCCCTTCAAACTTGGGGTTGACGAAAGCGTGGCGCTGAGAAAGCCTGGAGAAGGCAGCAGAGAAGGTCGTCTGTGAGGCTGGCAGCCAGAGCCTGGAGGTCCCTGGGGACTGACCACAGATTTCTAAGTGGAGTCTCTGCATCTTCCTTCTTCAGAGGCTCAAGCCACATCCCAGGCTTTCTGGGCACAGGGAAAGTGCTGGGATTTGCCCTTTAGTATTTTACTGTGCCAGCCAACATGATACAAGGTGTTCAATTACAAATGTTATAACCAATCATTTGCACACATAGGCATTCTTACACTACAGATTCCTACAAGTCCTGGGCATCACTGCTATTTCCATCTGTCCGATGTAATGAACCCTTTGGGCTGGCTGCCTCCCTCTCAGGCCAGGAGCTACAGGAAGAGTAAAGATGACACCTCTTCTTGTGATTCCCAGAGACACTGCTTCAGGAAGGGCCCATATACTACCAAGGAAGAAAGTCTTAAGTGATGAAACTAATCTGGAATTCCAGATCCTAATGAGCAGCTGGGGGAGATATAGAAGGGCAGGGGAACCTCTGAAGTCACAGCAGAGACTAGGGCTCATCTGAAAGGAAAGCTGCGGAGTAGAGAGAAAGACAAGGGAAATATCATGAAACTGTATGTTTACATGAAAAAGATTGGATAAAAATGATTGTTATTGTTTCATCGCTCAGTTGTGTCCGACCCTTTGTAACCCCATGAACTGCAGCACACTAGGCTTCCCTGTCCTTCACTGCCTCCTGGAATTTGTTCAAACTCATGTCCATTGAGTTTAAAATTATATAAAAATGGTTATAAAGAGTCAAATTCATATCCTCTTTAAATATGACTTTATAATAAAATTAGTGGAATCTAGGAAGAAGGCATTTATCAGTCTTTTTTTTTTTTGGCCTCAGAATGAATTTCTGTGTGTTAGAGTGAGAAATCAGGTAAACAGACACAAAAAACCAAATGACAGAGTAAGAAACAATGGAAAATGCAAGATGATTACAGGCCAGGATTCTTCCTTATATTAAAAAGAGAGACAGGAAGAGAAAAAGAGAGGGGCAGGAGGAGAGGGAGGCTCCATAAAGCTCAGGAAAAATAGAATGCTAGCGACTATAAAAAGGAAAGTGGCTCATTTTAACAGGGAAAATTATGACCCAAATATTGACTATAAAATATCAGTGGGCAAGAAAAAAATAAGAGAGAAATCAGTGAAACGGCACATTTCTGATTCATTATTTATTATTTATATTCCTCTGTGAAGTTCATTGGCTAGGAAAGGTGCATACCTTATGTAATGAAAATATGATATTATGATTTTTGGCTCAAAAAGGAGCATAATAAAGGCAGTATGATGTCTCCTCTCTCTTTTAAAACACAGAGAAAACAACAAACATAGTGAAACATGGGAGAAAATATTGGATGTACTCAAATCAAACAAACAAGCAAACAAAAAGACTGCCATTCTTTTTACAAATCACAAAGCATGCATGGACTAAATTCAGGAAGGATACTGAAAGTGGACAAATATCTCAAGTCTCGAGCAGGATAAAATGTTTTAGGCTAAAGTGATGTCATAAATGCCTAGAGGGCATATGCAATGAGCCTTTGATCAGAGTAGCAAAACACGCAACTTAAGCTCATAGAGACACAACCTGACACCATGTAACAGAAGCGGGCAGAGCAAAGAGGAAAGGATAAAATTGTATTTCTATTTGACCTTGTATTGTGTCACTACTGTATTCCTTCTAACCAAGGAGGAGCTCCAGAATCACTGACATGCCTATAGAAATTCCCAGGGAGTAAACTGGAAAAGGGAATGCCTACCCACTACAGTATTCTTGCCTGGAGAACGTGGTGGATAGGTCCATGGGGTTACAAAGAGTCAGACATGATTGAGTGACTGACACTTTCACTTCAAGCAGGTAAAAAGTAACAGAAAACACACAAACTTGGGTTTTCTAGATAATTCTTTCAAGTAGAAAGTGTAGGTCTTTACAGTTGATGGCAATGGAAATTTTCTCTTAGATAAGTATTCTCATAGAAGGTGTTTGAATTTTATAAGGCAAGTCTAAAGAAGGAAATATTAAATAATATATAAGGTATTTAACCCTGTTACGTTAAGCAACCGAGTTTGAGAGATCTGCTAGGTGGCTTTAACCTGAGCATCCATCTAGATTTTCAGAGGGTAAGGATGAATAAGGAGACATATGACCAGATCATACTACTTTCCTGGTCCTGTTGTTAAGAGCCAAGGGTTACTTCATTCCAAGAAGACACAGCTCAGCATGTACAAAAAGCAATTCAGTGATAGTCTTGTTGCACACTAGCTGGTCTTAGAACAAATGCATAAAGGCTTCAGCCAGGTATAAATGTGGCAAATATGAGTAAGAGCCACTGGAAGGATTTAAAAAGCAACTTTCTGACTTTGCCTACAAAGGCCCTTGGACTTGGTACACGGGTTTCTGTTTCTCCACTTGATTTCTATCAGGTGGCCGACGAAAGTTCTGTATTTGAATTACACAAAACGCTCTTACTTGTTATCACAATTTACAAGTGTTCTCTCATTCTTCTCTTGGCTCTTCACAGGTTAAAATCTAAGAATCTCATGGTGCCCTGGCCCTCTAGGTAGAGATGATGGGTGATTAACAGATCAGTGGAGGAAGTTAAGCTCAGGAGGGAATCTAACTGAAAACAATGGCAATCAATGAAGCCAGAGTAGACCCAAACATTAAGCGGCATTTACTTAAGTGATATTAGCTAACGGCTCCACTGAGTAAGTGAAGAAGTGTGAGCTATTACTGACTTCCTCTCCCAAGTTCAAAGATACAAGAATGATCACAGACCCATACATTTCAAGTCTGGGCTGCTTAAGAAACCATTACAGGTTGAATTGTGTCCCCCTAAACTTCCTATGCTGAAGCCCTCTCAGTATCTTGGAACGTGATCGTATTCAGAGGCAATGTCTTTAACGAAGCAAGTGAGATTAAACAATGTCTTTGAGGGCCCCTGATTCAGTCTGACTGTGTCCTTCTAAGAAGAGGAGACTGGGACAGAGATACAGAGGAAAAATCATGTAAAGATACAGGCCAAGGAGGCCGTTTGCAAGCCAAGGAGAGAGACCTCTGGAGAAATCAATCCTACAGACACCTGGATACCAGACTTGCAGCCTCTAGAAATGGGAAAAACTAAATTTCTATTGTTTAAGCCACTCAGTCTGTGCTGCTTTGCTATGGCAGCCCCAGTGCAGAAGCCTATAATGAGCCCTGTTTTCCCTCTGAGAAGTCTAATATAATACCCATTTCTTTTGTGGTTGAATGCAATTTACATCATACTCACAACCCCAACAGGAAAGGCCAATACAGCCAGCATCCAGTCCCGGAGAGAGATGAGCTTCTTGAGCTGTCTTTCCTGTTCTTGGTTCCCACTTCCTCTAGTCAGAAGACTGGAAAGATCAGTCAGCACACAGATGCCAAAAAAGACAGCTTGGATAACCTGGAGGGAGACAATGATTGGTAGTAAGTCAATAAGATAGAAAGAGACCCAACCTTGAGGATAGCAAATCAGCCTTTGCAACATGACATAGGGTAAGAGAGGATGAGAAGCACATTTAAAGACCTGGCCCTGAAAAAAGAGGAAAACTCGGATATTTACAGCTTGCTATCATAGGTGAGAAAATCCATCTTAAAACACTACTTCCATTTTTGCTAAGGACAAATGCAAAACATGCGCGGGCAGAAACTGGTATCAGTTCTCAAAATGACATATCCCGTATTTTAAAACATCACATCTGTGGTTTAGTAATATTGACTAGTGCAATTTAACAAACATCTAAAGAGTGCAAAGAAAAAGATAAATAAAAAGATCAATAATAAATGAGACAATTAAGTCTAAATGTGAAGAAACCTTCCTACGATTTAATCTCTTAGGTCAAAATTTTTTCTACCAAAGGAAGTGGTAGAAAGCTTCTAGTCCTTGAGTCAAAGAGAAATCAACTGAATGCAATCATCAAGACTGAAGCAGAGCAATTTTCTGTTGTCAAACTTGAACTAAATGACCTCCGTCTGAGTCTTCAATCTTTATGAAATAAGATCTTCCCGAAGTAAGGTAAACTTAGTCACACATTTTCCCCCAAAATGTACAACAACTTGTACATTCCAAAATCAATTACAAATTGAATTACTTACATAGCTATGTTTACTTGGACCATCACAGAGAACACTGAAATGCTAGAGCCCAGATATTCATGAAATTCCTAAAGTGAGGGTAAAAGTGTTGGTGATCCAGAGCTACGAGTGAAGGCAAGCAGAATACTGTAACATAACTTGGCAGATGGTAATTCTAATTATGCAAAGGGCAGAAAATATATTCCCTGGGCTCAAAGTCATACCCATTTAGCACCAAGAACAGATTCAGGGGAATTTTTCTAGTTCCATTTACAAGAAATAATTTACTGATGATGTATTTGTACAAGATACAATTTTGCTCACTATGGTTAGAAAAACATATCAAAATAATTTTCTCAGTGAATTATCATCTTGGCAATGGAACGAATCTGTGAAAGTTCTGTTCCTCAGTGAGGCACAGGACAAAGCGGGCAGAAGGACCCTCAAAATTACCTGGTTCCATCTCTTGGAAAAGCACAGACACACTCAATTTTGTTAACCATTCTGGTTAAATTTTTATCTAAGTCACGTGAAAAATTCCCAATAATGAAGATTCCATCACCAGGTAATATACTAGGCTCTTTTGAAGTCAGCAAACCCTACTGTTAGTCATTCTTAGCCAGAATTGTGTTCTATTCTTCTTCATAACTTAGCCTACTGTTGCCTTCAATGACTTAAGATTTCTTGCTTTTCTACAACCGGAAAAACCAGAGTGGGAGAAGCTAAGACTGCCACATTGAGCATGGCACAGTTAAAAGTGTTGGCAAGAATCATGCTGTGATGACCAGAAATAATTTAAATGACTCGGAATAATTTGCCACTTGGGAAAATTTTCCATTGCACACTTTAATGACTTTAGATGTTAGACCTTTATGTCCACCCTAACGGGGTTTGAGAAATTCGGGAATAATACTGGGGAATAATAATCTCTATTACAAGCTGGTAGTGAACGTATTAAAAGGTGTCCTCCCTTATCAATAATCAGGGAAATGCAAATTTAGATCACAATGAGATAGCATTTTTCTCATCCATGTAACTATTGACTACTGTAATTTAATTCTGATAGTCCCAAGGGTTATAAGGATGGAGAATGACCAGAATTCTTATGGTAGGAATGAAAATTGGGAAAACCACTTTGAAGAAAAACTGGCAGTGGCTAGTGATCTAAAAATTCATTTACTTTTTCATCTAGTGACTTCACTATGAAGTCACATCTACAAGAAAGTTAATTTCAGCATTCACTGCTTCAATAAATGAACACAATCTAAAATCTCTTAATAGCTGACTAGATAAATCATGCTACAGTCATACAACGGAATTCTAAGCACACATCAATTTTTCACTCTCACAACAAAATGCTAAACAACAAAAAAGGAAACAAAAAATGCTGCATATTGACACCATTAAAAAAATTTCAAAAAATGCAAAGATAAATTCAAAGATGCATGCATATGAGGTAAAATGTGAAGAAACAACATGTAATTAATAACACTAAAATTAAGTACCTCTACCAGGAGGATGAGATTGAAGGAAGGACACAAGGGCCTCAACTCTGTCAGCATTTTATTTCTTAAGTTGATTATTGGGTATACAGAAGTTTATTATAGTCTTCTCTATATACTTCATTATTATGAAACATTTCCAAAAAACTTTAAGAAGAGTGGTTTTCTTACTTTTGGAATATAGTTAACTAGTTTCTTTCAATTCCCTTCCTTCCAAATCAGTTTCCTCTAGTTTTTAAGATCAGCTAATAGTAGCAGAATTTAGTGAGCGCCAACTCAAGTGAACTAGATGAATTTTAAAATTCCATGGTCAAGTAACAGGCACCATGTTTGTCTCCTACCATAAACTAGACATATGTACTAAATACAGAAATCAATTTTTCATATATTGGGCTTTTCCCCTCTGTAATCAGCCAGAGAAACCTGTTTTTTTTTTCCCATTTATTTTTATTAGTTGGAGGCTAATTACTTTACAATATTGTAGTGGTTTTTGCCATACATTGACATGAATCAGCCATGGATTTACATGTGTTCCCCATCCCGATCCCCCCTCCCACCTCCCTCCCCATCCCATCCCTCCGGGTCTTCCCAGTGCACCAGCCCTGAGCACCCGTCTCATGCATCCAACCTGGGCTGGTGATCTGTTTCACCCTTGATAGGATACTTGTTTCAATGCTATTCTCTCAGATCATCCCACCCTCGCCTTCTCCCACAGAGTCCAAAAGTCTGTTCCTTTTAAAGGGCTCACATGATGAGATCAGGCCCACTGTGAATAATTCTCCTTGGCCATATAAAGTAATATAATTAAAGGAGTGATCATACTCACAGGATCTTCCAAAACCCTGTGGGAGGAGATTATGCAGATGTGAGTATCACTGAGGGTCATTTAAGAACTCTACCCCCCATAAACACATTCTCAAGAGCCCAATTAGGATATACAGATATTCAAGTTCTGACCAATCAGAGAGGCCTTATAGACTTCAACAGGCCTTCAGTAGAGACCCAAGACACTTAATACTTAAACAGCAGTGCTAAGATGGCCCTGGAATAAAAGTGACTCTAGATCTAACCCAACAATACTTAAAAACAAGCCTCAAAGAAAAAACAATCAGGCTGATCTATGAATAACTTAAACACTTGCAAATATAAAATTCTATACTCCTTAAAGGAGGAGAACAAAATCCAAACATTTAACAATATCCAGCATCCAATCAAAAATTACTAGACATGCCAAGAAACAGAAAGTCCTTTAACCAGGAGAAAATGAATTAAATAAAAATAGGTACAGAAATGACAGAAATATTGGAATTAGAATACAAGAACATTAAACAACTAAATTAAATAAAGTCAAGAAGTTAAATGAAAACCATAAGAGGAAAAAATGTAAAGAATCAAACTGAACATTAAAAGTGAAGAAGATATTACCTGAAATTAAAAAGTCAGTGCATGGGAATAATAGATTAGCCACTACAGAAGAGAAGATTTAAAATTGAATACACAGCAAAAATAAACTATCCAAAATGAATCAAAAGAAAGAAAAAAAGACTAAAAATTAGCAGAACCTCACTGAACTGTGAGAAAATATCAAGCAATCTAATATACATGCATTAGAGCCCTGAAGAAGCAAACGGTCATGTAAAAAGAATCTGTGAAGAAATAACGGCTGATGTGTTTCCAAATTTATTGAAGACTATAAACCCACACGTACAAGAACCCAAACAACGGAGCCCATACAAAGAAAACTACATCAGCATGGTGCAGCAAAATGCTGAAAATCTGTGAAAAAGAGGCAGTCTTAACAGTCACTACAGAAAATGGCATCGTGTACTGAAAAATAAAGACTAAAAATATCTCAGACTTCTAAAACAAAAAAAGCCAGAAACCAGTAAAATTATAGCTTTAAAGTTCTTAAGGGGAAAAACCATCAAAGGTGAAAGATGTTTTCAGACAAATAGATAAATGGTGACAATAGACTTTCACTAAAAGAAATGTGAAAGGAATTGAGACTATGATACCAAACATAACTTCAAATTTAAACTAAGCAATGACAATTGCTAAAATAGTAAATATGTGGATAAACATAAAAGATTTATCTTCTGATTTGTTTTATTTTTGAAGATAAATGACTATGTAAGGCAAAAATATAACAATATATTGTGAGGTTTTAAACATATTTGGAAATAAAATTATGACAACCAAAGCACAAAAGAGGGGAGGAAGAGAAGGCATGCTGCTGTTGAATTCTTAGTTACATATAAAGTGGTATAATATTATTTGACGGAAGACAGTGACAAGTTAAAGATGCATATTATAAACCCTACAGCAACCACGCAAAGAATGAAATAGAGATCTTTAGCTAGTGTACTGGTTTTCTGTGCTGAGAGACAAATAACCACAGACTTAGTAGCTTAACACACAAATTATTAGTTTGCAGTTCTTTAGGTCACAAGTCCAAGTAAGTCTGTCTGGCTTCTATGCTCAGGGTACCACAATAGCAAACATACAGTGCGGACCAAGTTGGGCTCTTATTTGGAGGTTCAAGAAAAGGATCTACTTTCAAGCCTTGAGTCTTAGCTCTTTTACACTATAAAACCGAAATTCACAATCTCTTGTTAGCTGCCAGCCAGAGTCACTCTCAGCTCCTTCTATCTGCTCTCCGATCCATGTACAATGGCTCCCTCCATACTCAAATCCAGAATATCAATTACTCTTTATGCTTTAGATCTTTCTAAATCTCTCTTCTGTTTTCCTCTTCTGGCCTGAAAAAGCTTTCTAATTTTAAGGGCTCATGTGATAATCAGGTCAGGCCGACATGTATAATATTCTT